AGGTCAACACCCACTGCAGCGGGAGCTGAGGCAGGTTCCTTTGCTCCAAGGTCGCCCGCATAGTCGATTCCACGACCTTGTAGGACATGATGGCGATGAAGGACACCACCACCACGAAGATCACGAGCTCGTAGCCGCCTTCCCCTTCTCGACGTCCATCCTGGGCTTCTGTCTGCACCGCCTGCATGCAAAGGATCAAGCTCCCAAGGCCCATTCCTCCACTCGTAGTAGGCGTAGTTGGCCAGGGCCTTATAGAGTTCCGCCTCGATCTCACCGACGAGGTCTGCATGGGCGATACACCCTCCTGATTCCATTCCTCCAGCCCACCTTCATCACTTTCCGGGAAGGTCTATGGGTGCGCTAACCTCCTCCCTAACTTCCGGCCAAGATCAACGCCGCGCGGTTGTCATTGTAGATCTCCATGCCGATCGGGACGAAGAGCTCCAGCAGCGCCCTCACTGAGCAACCCGCTTGCGCCCTTTCCATAATCGTCGTTAGCTCCGCCTCCGCCGTAGACAGAGCCACTAGGGACTGCTTTTTCGACTCCCACTGCACTGGGCAGCCCGCGAAGAGCAGTATGATGCCCGTGACGCTGTGCTGCTCCTCCACCCCAAACGAAGCATCAAGTGCCAGCCTCCCGGGGTGTCCGCCGGAACATAATCGGATCTGCATCTACCGGCACCTCCTTGGTGTAGACTAGCTTCTTCTCCCACGACGTGTTTAGGTAAGCGAAAACATTGGCTCCGAGTTCCAGTTGACGACATCCTCTGAACCGCCGCTGCAAGATCCGGTCTAGTCTTCCCGGAGAGCCACAACAGCTCTCCAGTGAGCCGTTGGGCCTCCCGCACCATCCGCAAAGCTGGGGCAGGGCCCTCCTTTTCCTCCAGGACCTTGATGTGTGTAGCTCGCCCCACCACCCCATTCCTCTGCAACAACTCCTGCGCGTAGCAGTGCTGGTGGACCTCAATGTCCCCCTTCTCTGATTTCCGGATCTCCATGCCCAGGAACTTCATAGCGGGGCCTCCGGCCTCCACGTACTCCGGCGGGCTAGCCGGCCAGATCGTATCCAAGACCTGAATCAGCTTCTCCGCGGTGCTCCTCTCCGCCACCACCAACAGATCATCCACATAGACCGCAAGGTAGCCCAGAGGGGGTGCCGTAAAGAGCACACCGCCCTTCCCGTCTGCTTTCCACTCCTTTACGACCCAGAGGTTCGGGCTTCCTCTCCTCCCCCGAGATCACCTGCGTCCAGCAAAGATGCCTCAGCTGGTTGTCCCTATGGGATGCCTAATCCCTTGGCGCCGTTGTGAGGCCGTACATCGCCCCCCGTGACCATCCAAACCTTGTCGTGGTTGATTAGGCCCGCATCGTAAAGGATACGAGGTGGTTGAACGATGATTAATTTATTCTACAAAGTCGGCGCTAATAGGAATCCCAGGATTCCAAGGCTGCCTTCCTCAGAATGGCCCTCACTTGCGTTGAGTCCGCCCCCGAGGCGTAGAGCTCATCCGCGCTCCGGTCAGCCATATAGTTGCCACAGCACACGACGCACGACTTCCGCTTCCCTGCTCCCGCCTTTCGGCTAAAGACTCCCATGGCGTCCTCCAAGCTCACCCTAATCTCCGCGTTCTCAGCGTCCAGCTTCCAGCTTGCGGATTAGTCCTAGACTCCCCCATCTCCGTGTCTTGCTCGAGGATTTTGAACTCCTCATTCGCCAGGGCATCTCCTTGATGAAGCCGCCGTTATAATGCTTGCACGCCCAGGGACTTGACCGCACCCTTGCCTCGTATCCTCCTCGGTGGATCTCCTAGGCCTTGAAGTGGGCCAGCTCCTGGATCTCGATCCACCAGTTCCAGCAACTCCGGAACCGCTTCCTCCTCCTCATGCTCCTTGCATGGCACCAGATCATCGGTATGAGGTACTTCTTGTCCTCGGTCTCCGCAATGTGGCCACCAGAGCTCAGGCTTCTTGAAGGAGGCCCATTTAGGCCAAGCGAAGAAGCTCGGGTAGTCGGTGTTATCGGACTTCGCCTTGTATTCCTGAGGATCTCAAGGGTGTTCCTTCAGGAAGCGCACCTTCTCCTGCATCATTGAGGGCCAGTTCTCGATTTGCCTCACTAAGGCAGTCCAGCGCAAACCTCTCTGGCCCGTGTCGCAATCTCAGAACCGGTGGGCCGGGCCGCTGATGCCGAAGCTTTGACATTGTACGGCAAGGAGGTCCACCAAGCAGGGCATCAATTGCACCTCCTTCGCATACCTCCAACAAGAATCCTGCGACCTGGTCCAGCAACAAGTCCTGGCCGCTGCTCACCTTCCGACCCACGCACAGCATGACCCGGGATGAGGTCTCCATCATCTTCTTCCACCAGCTCTGATCCGGCCCAGAGAACAGGTGCACGATAACGGATGGGCTTGACAAGAACTTCTTCCTCTGCCTCCTATTCCAGGGCAGAGCAACACCTTCCCATTGACCGGAAGGCACAATCCTCACGATCATCTCATCGGAGAGGTCCGGCCACAAGTCCTTGATGTTGACCATCCACCTCCAAACCTTGGAGTTGACCTCCCCCGGCTCCCCCGCCCTCAGGGCTTTGAAGCGCCTCTGCATTTCCGTTCCCTTCTTCTCCAGGCGTCTGATGAGCTCCATTGCCTGTCGCGATAATGCTACGTCCACCCATAGTGCTGCCCGAGCTATCTGCAGCCTGAACGACACCTGGGCAAAGATCTTTCCAAGGACCACCGCGAACTTGTCTAGGGTGGCCAAAAAAAGAACTTCAGGAGGCTAAAAGCGTAGTTCCGTTACCCGCACTGGCCACCTTCGCCACGTCCTCAAAGAAGACAGCCATTCGCCGATGCCCGAAAGGATGCGCTGCTCAACCAGCTGCTTAAGCAGGGAACCGCCCTCCGCTGGGCGATCAGTTCACCTCGTAGAGATTGAGGCACCGCCTTCAGCAAGGCGACTTGGCCCCGCTGCTCAATGCGTAGCCAAGGTGCCCTCGAAAACGCTAAGGGCGCCTCCGGAAGAAGCCGAAGACGTTCAAGAGGATCCGCATTGAGCCACCGCTGGTAACATTCATTCGCCACCCGAAGCACTTCCTGCCACCACGCAGACGAAGATGACGAGAGGTCGGACATAAAGGGCGAGATCATCATTATCCAATCTCCCGCCAGCAAAGGCCCCATGTCCTGCTCGGCTGTTGCGAGGTCCTGCAACTCCGGCAGCTCCATCATTCTCACCGCCTCCTGACCTGCCATCACCCCGTTCAGCCATAAGTTGACCGCCGCCTCCATGAAGACCGTCAAGAAGCCCTCCTCTATGACCATTTAGGGGACCGCCAGGTGGACCTCCAGGCCCACCACCACGAGCACCTCCTCCAGGAAAATGACCACCCGGGAAACCACCACCTCCGGGGATGACCAGGAAGCCCTCTATCGGACCCACCCTAACCTCCTCCAGGAAAATGACCACCCGGGAAACCACCACCTCCAGGATAGCCAGGAGGTCCACCTCCCACACCACCCGGAAATCCACCGGCTCCATTGCCGCTAGGACCGCCGTCATGTCCCCCCGCTAGCCCCACCACCGGCTCCATTGCCGCCAGGACCAGCACCACCATTGCCGCTGGGACTAGCACCATGAGGGGCTCCTAAACCTTGCCCTTGTTAATGTTCAGGATGATGAGTATGGGCGGAACCAAAGGCCTGTACATCTGGCTGTCCTCGATCACCAGCTCCATGCGGGTCACCATCGCCAGCGGCCTATGGAGGCCATCCACGAATTCCACCTAGAAGGTCTAGAAGTGCTTTTTTGGCAGTCGACCCAATTCCAAGGCTAGATGATGAAGTCGGTTCATCTCCACCCCAAGTCGGCAAGGCTGCAGAGCTCTCTGCTCCAGGCCATGCCCACTACGGCCAACCTCCACCGGCGGCCTCACCCCCACCAAGCACCGGGTCCAGCAGCATCCGGGCCACTCATTGCAGTCCCAACAGTCCCAACCAACTTCTCCTTAAAAGAGGCCTGCATGGACTAATAATCCCGATCCAAAGCCTTCTGCATCTGGTTAATGTAATGCCAAAGCCTGGCATTTTCCTCCACCTGGCTTTTTCCTCCACCACCTAGATATCTCCACCCTAATCCTCCGGGAGCGTGCTTGGCCTCATAGCCTTCAATATGGCTTCATCATATATCCGCTACGACCAGAATGGATTCATCTGCGGCCCCAAGGCCTGAGGTGCACCTTCAAGGTGTTCCATCTTCTCCTAAGAAATCACGAGAGCCAGTTGGAGGTCCTTGTCTACAAGCGTCTGCATTAAGCCTTCATTAGCATTGGGTTCATAACCCTCGAATCCGTGAAAATACGCAATAGAGTTCCTTTTTTCTTAATCAAAAAAAGGTTATATATACATAAGTGGAAAAAAACAATATAATATTTATCATTTTATATTAAAATTGTAAATAATTAAAAACCAAATAATAAATTCAAATCCTATATCATATATTTAAGTTAATTCAATATCAAAATTCGACTCTTCATTCTCGATTCGCAATTCTCTCGATTACAATTTTCGGCTCGAACCTCTCAACACTTCGATTCTTATCCTCTCGACTCTCGATTTTCGACTCACCACTTTCAAATCGCAACTCACACCTCATCTCCACCAAACACCACCTCATTCTCAATTCTTACAACTCTCAAATTCCAAACACCCAAATATTCCTACCAAACATCGAGTCCGCAAAACAAAAGCTCTACAACCCAAAGCCCAAAGCCACAAACTCGTATATATCGTTTAAAAAAAAAAAAAATCATATAATGCCAAATCGCAAAGACTACGAATAATATGTTTGATATAATCAAATCATAATCAAATTCTTAAAAATTATCAAAATAGGAAGGCATTTGTATAGATGCATACCTTGTATATTTGAGTTCATAATCATTGATTTCACAAATTGATACATATTTGTGAAAATAATTCGGCATCAAGTTGGTCGACTTCTCAAGCTAGCAGCAGGTTGGTGGTTTCCAAGCTTTGCGGAGACCTTTCCTGGCAGGCTGGCTCTCGCAGTTCACTCCATCTTAGGCCTATCTGCTCAAATCCCTTCATATCAAACTTGGCTTGCCATTCATGAAAGCAAACATTGAACAACTAGGACAGGGGCTCGCGATCAGGAGAATTAGTCTCAGATTATTGCTCGTTCATCACGAAGGAAAGTCTCAACTTGATTGCGACTGTCACAGCGTTCTGACTGTTGTAACCAAGCGCCGGCCTTGGGTTGCGCTACCTGCGGCTCCATACCCTGGCATGTTGCAGCTGGAAGACAGCTCATGCAACGGTCTCCAGCCCCTCTTGCTCCTTGGCGGCTTTCAAACCACATTAAACTGACTCATGCTTGAACACATCCTGTTCCCTGATTGCTTTTTGTGGGAGGGTACCTGGAAGATCAATTTCCTCTTCAAGGGACCCTCTGTCAGGTGCCATGTTAGTTGGAGGGAGAGTAATCCCCAAAAAAATCGGTCCATGTCCGACTTGTACACCGCACACACTTTCACCCCACGCCTCTGGAAGCGGCGGCGGGGGCATCTTCATGGCCACGAAAGGGCTGCCAGAGACCTGTGGAGAAATGAAGGCAGCAGGGTTCTACTTTTTGACTACCAAGGTAGACGTAAATTCAGGGGTTTTGCTTTTAGGGACATCAATTTAACTCTTTTTGGGGGTAGCCAAAAGGTAGAACCCTGAAGGCATGGAGCGCCATGCTGCGCAATCCATTTGCCGCTGCGAAAAACTTCAGGCAAAAAGACGTTTCTGTCCAGCTCTTGACCTGCCTGGATGAACTTTGAAGCTGGCTGCTTGTAGACAGTGCTCAGCCTTGAGATGCGCCCGGGAACACATGGCTGATGCAGCTCATCTTTGAAGGAGCCCTTGCCCATGCTCTGCACAGCAATACTCAAGCAGAAGCTAGACTCTTCTGAAACAAGGCATGCCAAGCAAGGGCGTGGGCAATTGATGCGCACATTATACGAACCACGAGTCCGACACCAGACGGTCTCGAACAATCAGCAGACAACAAGATGCTGAAAGTCGGAACATTGTCAGTTGTTGAGTCCTCCCAAACGGATTCAAACCCCAGGTTGACCCCCCCCGCCCCTTGTATGCAGCGTTTCTCAGGGATTTGGGCACCCCTCCAGGTGGGTGGTTCCCTCTTGGTTTCCCTTTTGGAACCCATCCAAACAAGGACTTCCCTATTTTGAGAAACCCCCCAAAATGGGATGGGCGGCTCCTTCTGCACAGTTCCCCACTGGTTCACGTTTTTTGGCCCAGCCGCGAGTTGAACTCCTCGAAGACCCGGTCTCTCAGGTCCGCGTCCATCTGGCGGAGAATCGCAGCTGCAGCCCCCCCCCCCTCCCCCCCGGCCTTCGCCTTCGCCTTCGCCGCCCGAAAGAAAAGTGGGGCTTTGAGTGAAATGTGCCACGGTCGAACTTGGGGAGGCCACATCAAGCAGGTCTATGACCCCAATTTGAAGAATCATGAAACTTAACGCGCTGCATTTCTCACAAACAAATCATAGCTCGAGAGTATTGTGGCATACTAGAGCCTCGAGTAATTGTTCAGGTTTGACATTCGAGACATTGAGTCTTCCGCTGCAACTGTCTCGCCCGCCTCTTCCTGGAACTCCTCCACCACCTCCTTGGGCGCGCAGATCACCCTGCGCGCCTCCTCCGGAGAGACTTGCAATAGCCTGCAGTCAGGTGTCCGGCCGACATCCAAAATAAGTTACCATGCAAACGAGACCTTCGCGCAATCAAGACAATCAGCATCTAGGCGTGTCCAGAGGTTTGGAGAACAGCGTCTTGCATAAGTTTGTTGCTGGGTGCGCTTGACTTGAAACATCCTGGAGATTAACGCAGCTCCATCGATTCAAGAAATTAGCGCAACTGCCGCATGATTATGAGGTTTGATACATACACTGGGTGAGCTCGTGCATAGAGAAGCAAGAAATTGGGGGATGGGTTGTGCCCGATCGCGATTTGAATGAGAGGTCGTTTCGGCTCCGCTGCAACCCAACTACTGAAGCTGTGTTGGCCTGGCCTGTAGTAGAGGAGCGCTCTATCCCGGACATCCGGGTGTGTGCATTCCTGGATGGCCTGGCTGCGAATCAAATCAAACACACACACACACACACACAAGGCTGGAGCTCAGCTTCCAAGTAGCCAATGCATCATGCATGAAATCAAGACCTGTATCATGTGAGTATAGCCCTGGGGCTGTGAGCCAACTTACTGGGAAACATTATCCTTCTTCGGCATGAAAGGTACACCCTCTCAGGGGTACATTATGAGGAGATTGCAATGCCCAACGCCACAGGCAGCCCTGGCCCGACCATGTGACAAGCACAAGGGGACTTCAGCAGCCCTGGCCCCTCCCTGCATGCGACCTTCTGCAGCAGGCAGCCCAGCATTTTCTGCACTTCTGGTGGCCGGCAAAAGAAGAGCTTCACCTTGGGTCATTTTCGAAACCCAGCCGCACTTCCAGGAGCAAAGGCCAAAGCTGCCAAGGGCTGGCTCTAAACAGCTCACACGGTTTTTGCTAACTCTTGACCCAGGATTCATAAACCGGTCCCACTACTAGGAGGTGTTGCCGCCCAAAAGTGACGAATCCCCACAAGGGGACACCACCCGATCAAAATCAACCAGAGGTTCATTAATCTCTGGTTAGCATTCAGGTAAAAAATCAGACTGACGGCCGCACCTCTGGTTGGTTGGTTGGTGTCTCTCAATGAACGAAAGCCACCGGCGTATTCACTTACAAGCCGCTGTCCCGCTGTCACCCACAGCACATCGACGCCAAAGTCAACATCTGAGATCCCGCTTGATCCCCAATTTGCAAGTTCAGCAACTGAAGCCACTTGCTCGAATGTGGCAAACCACATGGATGTTCTCCAATATCAGTGCTACTGAGTTTAGGCCATTGCGACACATTTGCACTGCGGTTGGCCTCTATGCGGCGCACGCAAATGAGATTTGGGTTTCTGCTTTATGTCAATTGCTTGTTTGGGTCATTAGCTGGTACAAGGAAACCATTGGTGGGCGCTCGCTTGAGCCTGCAAACATTTGACAGCGTTTGAACATAGGGCTGATTCTTGTTCGTTAAAGGGCCTCGCTAATCTCGCTGGCTAGCGCAAGGCTCTTCATTGTTTGCCAAAGATAAGGGTCAAAGGTTTTCCAAGCTGCCGTCGGAAAATCCTTGGCGCTTTTGTGTTCGCTGAATGCAGCGTAATACTGCCGTCCCCGCAAAACAAATCAAACAGCTCGATTCTCCGCAATCACCTTGCCCTCTCACCTTCCGCACGTTTTCGCGCCTATCTCAGCCTGTTTCAAGCCGGATCCGTGGTAGCACAAACCGAAGGCAAGGGTTATATGGCTATGGCTCAAAGTTGACGACTTAGGGTTCGGAAAGTTTTAGTCTTTGGTTCCATTTACCAAGGTGCCGTTTTGTGACCCACATTGACGACGTCGGGTATCTTCCTTCGATGCTCCAAGGCCCCGGCTGTCGCCGTGAGCATCTCCAGTTGCACCGCGCCAACCTCCTGCGCAGGGAACCCGCGGGCTCGGATTCGATTGCTACATGGGTCCGCCTGTTGGCTGAAGGTGACGTTTCACACCAAAGTAGAAGGGCAAAAAAAGCATAATCATTGAAGCAAAACAATTCAAGCCTGTCGGAAATCAAAAGGAGGTCTGGCAAAAATGCATGATCATTAAAGCAAAACAAAGCAAGCCTGTCGGAATTCAAAAGGAGGTCACCGGTAAGAACCTCCATTTCCCCGGCGACGCCTCCATAAAGCTATCAATCATGGGCTCCAGCAGGTATGGAGCGTCCTGGCAAACCCGCTTCCGACCATGGCCAGGCTTCCAGTCATTCTGTGGATGGACGAAATCCATTTCGCACCACTTAAGAAATCCTGGAAGAATGATTCCCCGTACATGCCAACTAAGAGTGGCTTCACATGGCTTCAAGGTGATGCGAACGTGTTTCGTCCATCCACAGTTTCGTTGTCACATTGAGTGAATTGGTTGTGGACGGCCAACAAACGGTGCCCGGCATCTGACCCCTCAGGCCCTCCAGCTTCAACTTGCATCGCTCCGGCAAAGCCACGCCTCAATGAGGAGGCCGTATTCACCCAGGATCCACAGCAGTGCCTGACATACAGTCCGCACCAGGAACGCTGTCAGCAAAGCAAAACGGGGACAGCTTCCGATGAAGGGGTCCTTTGGGCAAGCAATGCCTGAAGGTGAAAAAGCTTCTTCGGTAAGAATCCTGCTAGTACTCTGCGAATGGAAATCGAAATACTCATTCATAGAGTGGCATAGAACCTCAACAACTGCATTGAAAGGCCACTTCCAATCATCAACACAACCTCTGGCCCCATTATTTTGCCGTGATCAAAGTCACCCCCTAAGTGGTGGGTTAAAGGGAGACAGCCCCATTGTGTGACTTTAACACCCAGAAACCGAACCAAAATCACCCTTGAACCTTGCACGTGGATCCTCCTCCCTGAGCTCTGAACACTCTTGCCATCAGGCTCGCTGACAATCTTCAGGCACTTCCTCGGGTGCGGCCAGTCACGCAGCTACCAGCATGCTGGCGGCTGCTGTTCTGTGCGCATCTGAGACCTGCCAATGACACCCACACACGTGATATGATAGGCAGTTGTGTTTGTCTATACATGATTCATGTAGATATACACCATATGTGCATAAAACATATATCACGCGCCATCCTGAATGGTCCTAATCTGGAATCTGGCTGCTGCAAACTAGTCTGTGCTGCTGCTGGGCTACTTCTGCGAGACGTATGCGCAACATTTAAACATACCCAGATCTTGGACAACCACTACTAAGGCTAACAACGCTACATTGCTTTGGCTTTGCTCGGGGACTGAGTCGCTTGTAAACCTGGTCGCGCAAATCGTCGCAACAACAACAACAACAACAACAACAACAACAACAACAACAACAACAACAACAACAACAACAACAACAACCACAACCACAACCACAACCACAACCACAACCACAACCACAACCACAACCACAACCACAACCACAACCACAACCACAACCACAACCACAACCACAACCACAACCACAGGCACCACAACCAGCAAAACCAGCACAACCAGCACAACCAGCACAAACACCACAAACACCACAACCACCACAAACACCACGAACGCCACGAACACCACGAACACCACTAACACCACTAACACCACTAACACCACAACCACCACAAACACCACAAACACCACGAACACCACGAACACCACGAACACCACTAACACCACTAACACCACAAAGAAAACAAACACCACAAACACCACGAACACCACAAACACCATGAACACCACGAACACCACAAACACCACAAACACCACAAAGAAAACAAACACCACAAACACCACAAACACCACAAACACCACAAACACCACAACCACCACAAATACCACAAACACAACAAACACAACAAACAGCAAACACAACCATCGACAAAAGAATAAACAAACAAAACCAAAAAAACAAACAAACAAACAAACAAACAAACAAAACCAAAAAACAAAACAAACAAACAAACAAACAAACAAACAAACAAACAAACAAACAAACAAACAAACAAACAAACAAACAAACAAACAAACAACACCAAAAAAAAAAAAAAAAAAACGACAACATCCCCGGGAGAAACGGTTGGCACATCACGAGCCAAAGCAGCACCAATCTGGATTGCTGTGAGCTGATTGGACCCACTCGTCCCCGGCCACTGAGGCTTGCGCTGCACGGCCCCCGAGGCTTGCTGAAACTGCTCGGGGTATCTGAGCACCACTCCGCATAGAAAATGACGAAAGCCTTTGGGAAGGTCTCAAACAAGTGGTTCATGAGTCGCACAAACAGGACACACGTCATGTGTCCTTCATGTTGACACAGGGCAATCTCAACTGTCAAAGCGCTCAGTGAGCTGGTGGCAGGAATGGTGTCGCTTCAGCTTCCAAAGAAAACGGGTTGCATGCGTTGGGCTGCAATGAAGATTTGGAACGTTGTCGCATTCGCCCAATCCAGCAACGTTGCTATGGCAGGTCTGGGAAAAGCTTGTGTACATAACAGGCCGTCTGCACTATTGTGAAAGGCCTGATCATTGCTTTAGTGTGAAAACATGTGCCCTAATTCGCTGGAGGCTTGTTGTTTTGGCCCTGTCGAAGCAGACCAGCTCTTTGGCCCGTCCCAATAGAAAGCTTGCGCCTAGCCCTAGTAGGTTGGTCTTTTCGCGGATATACGATTATTACCATATAAACATGGAGTGTCTTGTTGAGCAGCACTACTCCTCTCTGGTAGACATATCATGCATCTGCATCAAAGTGTTTTGCACGACGCCAATTCATCCTGGGCATCAATGAGCTCTTCTACACTGTATGCAAAATGGCGTGTGGAATCAATAGGGCTTGATCAATATTCCTGGCCCCCAAATGACTATGGGTAACTTTCCCCACTTCGTGGGAAACATCATCTCTCTTTTTTCGTGGATTCCCCCAATGGTCATCCCACGTTTACCGAACCTTTCGATCAACCCCCCCCAATCTTCAACAGGCGCATGACAGCAACTTCCCTCGACAAAGCCGAGGTCCCAGCTTCCGCACGAGGTCCTTCATGACGACCGCGGCCTCGGTGCATACCTCGCTGCGAGCCACGCCACGCGATGCGACGGAAAGCGACTCTCCATGGCGCAGTGGTGCGCAACCTCCTCGCAAGCGTGGAATTGGACAGAGGGGTTCGGGACCCAAAAGGAAAGTCGTCTTCCAAAAGCCTCCTGAGAGCTTCCATGGTGGTTGGAGGGAGAGTACTGCACGGGAATTGCTGCAACCGCTATCTCGAAAGGGGGGATGATCACCCTACAGTCGCGTCGCCGCACCCCAGAAGCAGGGACGCTACGTATTATTGTAGGCTGCGCAGGAAAGTAGGAAGCAGCCACGGTGATCACTGATTACAAGGGAGGGGCATCAGCATGGCGCAAGCAGCTCTTCAAATCGACATGTTGCTCTTTAAGCAATTGGCAACACTGCCACATGGGCCAGGGCTAGCTGGCTGGTTCCCTGCCCTCATTGCCTCAGCAAGCTGAGCCTCCCCGCATAATCAATATCCAGCTCGAGCAGGTTCGAGAGCGAGCTCACGATCATCTCCGAGGTGGATGTTATGTGCACCTCAGCTCCAGTCAGCATCGGGAGAGTTTTGCCGCGACAATGGATCAGGATCTTTGGACTAGCTTAGTTCTGGCGACCAGCCAAAGTGCTTGCCGCTACTGCGACATATCCATTGGTGCGCCACGTGAGAAAGCCATGGTTTACCCAATTGCTTCAATAGAGATGAGAACTTGGGCGCCTCCTAATCACTTGATATTGAAATGGGCCGTGTTGAAGTTGATCGCCCTCGTTTGCTCGAAGATGTGAGCACCGACCCGAAGCCCAGGAATGACAAAAAGCCACCCGTGCAGGGCAATCTCTGGGGAACGCCATGGAAGGAGGCTTTCGCAGTTTCGCCATCGCGAATCCATGATCGAACGGGGCCTCTCTGCAACAACTGCTTGCTAGCAGAACCCTGCAACTAATTACCCAGTCCAAAAAGGGGTCCCATGTTGGCTTGCTTCAACGGGTAGCACAGGAAAGCGCCCCTCTCCTGGAGACATCTACCCAAAAGCAAACCGTGAAACAAGGCCGCGCGCATCGGCAATGTCTTCCAACCCAATTTTCAACATCCGAATTCCGACAACCATCTTATGTACATCCCAGTGTACATCCCAAATTTTCAATGTAAGATGTTGGGTGCGAAAGCCAACTCCAGGTTTTCACCACCGGGCGGCCGGGCGACGCCGAGTCTTAACGAGCCCCCGGTGAAAAAACCGAGGCCGAGCACCGCGATGGAGCCAATGGCGCGGATCGCGCGGCGGGCGATCTCTGCGTCCACGTCCGTGACGTACCTCCCAGGCGGCCTTCTCACGAGGCGAAGGTCACGTGATGGATCTATGGATGCAGTATATCATAGTATATCTAAGGAAACGCCATCCAGATTTGTGGGTGGGTGGGAGGGAGTGCATGTGTGCACGTGTGTATGTGTGTGTGTGTGTATTCATATATATATATATATATATGTCTATATATATATATATCTACATGAATATGTATGTGTACATGTGCAGACCCACACGTGTGTGTGTGTGTATGGTGCATGTCAAGCGCGAGTCATTCATTGTTATGTCCGTTGTCATACATCCCCAATGTACATGCACATGTAACTAAGACATGCAAGCGGCCTCTCCCGAGCAGTTCAATCGATGTTTGAAGATAAACTTGGGTATTGATTCGCAAAAGAAGCATAATTGTATTCTGCCTTACTTGTAGAGATCCACAAATTGATCGGTCTGCTTGATGCATCTTGTTGCAGGAAGTGCCACAGCCTCGGTTTGTGAAGGAGAGAGCCGTGTACAGGCATCCTTCCATGAACCAAAGGATGGAATGACCCAAGCACTGCGCTCATTGAATCGCGCAGCTTTAGAAGTGCCAGGACCAAATCTGTGAGCATGCTGTGTCTCCTGCATTCCTGCATTGTTCTTCTGAGAGTCCTGCTTGTCACATGAGCATAGTTGGACCCACAAGCAATGCCGGCTGTTCTTGGATCGTTGTCCAAACAAGTGGCTGTGAGACTTGTTTGCTCCGTCCCTCCTCCAATGGGCAACTTATATTTCAAAAGGCCTTAGTCAGGGCTCCGCAAAAGACATGTTGCGCTTCTCATGAAGTCAAGGATGTAAAGAAGCATGCTTGGCCTTGACCATAAACTGCCGCTCTGAAACTAAAGCATTGGAGACTTGTTGCTCCCGCATCTGCGGAGTAGGCAGGTGCTGGCAAGGCCGCGCCAGGCGTGTGCAAATCTGGCTGAATTGTCTCCGGGTGGTTGATTGTGCTGCCGGACATACTTTTTGGAGTATCGGTGCGGGGGGGATCTGGCTCGATCAGCTCAGACGATGGCATGTCCCGTGCATGGGTGTGCCATCTGGAAGTAGCCAACATCCTCGGTGTACTCGAAGTCAGCATAGGAATCTTGCGGAAAAGAGTGGTCGCACATAATGCCAGGCACACATGCAGAAACCGGCGTTCCCGCTGCCGAGACGGCAGGAGCTGGTGTATCTGGGAGAGCTAAGCATGTATTAGGCGCTAGAATGTTTACAGAGATTCAAAGGTACAGCTGTTCTCCTCTTGCATCTCGTGCACTAGTTACACATATCAAACAAGGACACCCTTCTCAGCACACATTGCTTTGCTGTTGGTCCCTTTGATTTCCACTATCTCAAGCCCCCCAAGAAGGGCCCCCTCAAGGCAAAGACCCACCGACCCCACATGTCCAAAGTCTGGCGCGGCGAAGCTACATCTTTGAAGCAACTCCGCACCATCTCGCGCAACTCTCGCGGCTGCGCATTGTGCCAGACGCGCTCCAAGAGCGCTACAATTGGGAACCCCATTTCGTCGGTTTTGCAAAATGAACAGGAACACCCAGCCAATTTTCGAAAGGTCACAGTACAAACCCCAAAGCTTCGCCTTCTTCCAAGCACAAAGCAAAGCGAGCCAATGAGAGAGTTCCTTCTGCGGCCTAAACGTTCTTTTTATGCTTTCCTGCCAACCCAAAGAAGGGGTAGGGGCGCTTTTCCCATCCAGACTCTTTATCTCCTTATTCCTAACAGTTTGTAAGTTGTGGTTTATGGGTCCCGAAACACAGGTTGGACACCTTGATAGGAACGTGCCCACTAGCATCTTGCCATTGCACCATTTTGACTCCTAGCTACGCACACAGCTTCTTGCCGCATCAAGATGCAGTGTATTCCTGCAATACAAATGCCGGTCGACACTGGGAACTCTTTACAATGCTTTACATCATGTCTTTCTGCCGGCGGATGTGTTCAACTAATTTCTGGGGATGTGTTCAACCAATTTCTGCCGGCGGATGTGTTCAACGTCTACTCGTTCCTCCCCTCCGTCACTTCCAAAGGTCTTGAGCAATGGGAGGTGGCACTGGCCTCAGCTTTGGATCTGCGTGAATCGCATCCACCACACGCGAGACCAAGTGCAGGAAGTTGATGCTATGCCTGCAGGGCATGGAAATTACGTTAAGCTTGCTATAATTCCGGACCAGAAACAAGGGAAACCACGCAAAAAAAAAGAGAAGGGGAACCACCCCTTTTAGACACATCATTTGTACATGGGTAGTGTGAATATGCCATGGAAAAAAACAAAGGCCAGTCTTAGGCAGTGCGCCTGGTGGAATGCTTGTCTTCGAACATCTGCTGATAAGGCACGGCCCTCCCCCAGAGCTGGACACCTGTAGGCCTCCCATCTGCAAGCCCAGTAGGCACAGACAGCTTTGGGATGTGGATGTCCTTCATGATGTCATTGTTTGGATAAACGCACTGCCAAATGTTGGACCTCAGTCTATGTTCTCATCGACGACCTTTTGGCTGGATTTGAAACAAAAAGAGAAAACCAATCGTTGGACGGACCCTGAACTCCTGCAAAGCGAAGCGTGGGTGTTCAGGGTTTTGACGGCATCGCAATGCGAAATACTGCACACCTGCCCGGAAATGCGAACCTGCCAGAGTGACACATGCGCAGCCCCGCAAAATCAACCACAAATGAAACGCACAGCCGTTCATAGGCGTGCACTTACCACACTGTACACACACACACACAAACCGCGCGCGTGCACCCAGGTGACAAGCGTCAGTTCAGAACAGCATGGTCAACGCTGCACACATATGCACGCCAATGACAAGCACACCCGTTCCATGTCTGCTACAGCAAAGCTGCGGCAAACCTTGCCCAGTTGTCACTGCTGACATGCGTGATCCAAGCAAACAACTATCGCGGACATTGGTCTTCTGCTCTTGAGTCCTGGGTTCTAAAAATAGAGGCTCTCTAAAAAAAGAAGGTTTTATTTTACATGTTTGCCTCTGCGTGGCGGGGTCCGGGCGGGTCAAAATCGGGCCAAAAAAAGCTGTGCGCTCTGGTAAACTTTGCTAGACGAAAGGCGTCTCACACAAGCGTAAAAGTTGGTCTCCTTTTGGCTTCCCGCTCTGTGGGTGGTTGAAAAGGGCACCATTCATACCGGATCTAACTTTTTGATACTCGATGGCCCGAAAACAGCCTCGGTTTCACGGCGAGTCTTGACGGGTTTTGTCAATCATGTATTGCGCGACAACAAAACACGGTTGCCGTCTTGCAGCCGCAAAAGCAGCGGCTACTGTGCGCTTTGGTCCGCCTAAGTTATGGCCTGTGATTCCCGAATCGCTGCAAGCGATTCGCGAGCCCTTTGGTGCTCTTAACAGCCCCTGAGGCACCTACTGCGCTGGCTTGCCATCAGCATCCAGCGCTGGGATGCAGCCGCCCAACGCTTGATCCAAATCCTCGGCGCAATGCGCAAGCAAAAGTCAAAGGAGACGCCACGGAGCTGCAACGAGTTCTCATGGTCCGAGTTCTAGGCAAATTGGAGAAACTGTCACCAGAACCCAGACCAACTGTACCTCACATGCTTCAGGATAGGCTCAGGCGTCGCATTGTACGCAGCTGGCACTAGGATGAAGTCTAGCTTGTGAACCTCGAACAAGGAGTTGTAGCGTTCCACCTGAATGGCGAGGAAGCATGGACAACTGACGAACGCATGCGCCATGTCTATCTTAGAGCTCAGGCGAACATCACGATGGGCAAGCCCATTAAAAAGATGCCCTGGGAAAGCTGACACTCCCCCTACCACCTGCCATTGCGTGAGGGACATGTGCGGCACATGCTCCAACATCAGCATCACCCATGTTGCTCGACACAGCCCTCTGAAAGCCAGCTTGCTCCCTGATTATTTCACATGGTCAGTCTCTCGGACAACATTGAGGTCTCATATGCCGGGCGGCAAGCTCTTTGACGAGAGGACCCACAGCGTAGCGGTAGTTTGTCTCGTCTCCCATGTCTGAAGCCTTCATTAACCCATCTGACGCATCTGGTCGGTAAAATACTCCGGGATTTGTTTCGCCCAATCGCGCAGTGTCTTCAGCAATCCTGGCGTGTTGGAGACAAAAAACAAAAAACCAAAAAACATGCCCCGGCACACAGTTTCAAATAGTGTTGATCACGATTGCCCAGGGCCCCTTCCACCAAATCAACCATCCGTCACATTGCTCTCTGGCAGAATCTGCTTAATATTCAAGGTCCGGGTCTTGATTGAAGGCAAGTCACTCTTTTATACTCACCGGCGCATCCAAGTACTCATGGACCCATTGCGCAACAAGGCCAGAGAAGGCGCGGAACGGCCATCGAATTTGGCCATCTGGGAATAATGACCTCATCTATGGAATGAAACTGACACAACTTCAAACGTTAAAAGGCGATCATGAAGTCAGCACCTTCTACTTGCCAGCAAGCATGTGCAACGTCTGCTGGTAGGATCATGGCGATGATCCAAACAACTACTACTACCACACTCACAGCATCCCACCAAAACTCCGCTACCACCACCACCACCACAACCACAACCACAACCACAACCACAACCACAACCACAACCGCCACAACCGCCACAACCGCAACAACAACAACAACAACAACAACAACAACAACAACAACAACAACAACAACAACAACAACAACAACGACAACAACAACAACAACAACAACAACAACAACAACAACAACAACAACAACAACAACAACAACAACAACGGCAACGGCAACGACAACAACAACAACAACAACAACAACAACAACAACAACAACGACAACCACAACGACATCGACAACCACAACCACAACGACAACGACAACGACAACGACAACGACAACGACAACAAACAAACAAACAAACAAACAAACAAACAAACAAACAAACAAACCAACAAACAAACAAACAACAACCACAACCACCACCAACACCAACAACAACAACAAC